AAAAAAAAAATCAAGATTTAGATTAGTCATTTTTTCTTAAAATAAGTGCATTTGTTCTTGGATTAAGAGGGTAAAACAGTCATTTTGCCAATGGAACAAGAACATTTACACTTGAAATAAAAAAAAACACAATTGCATCGTCTTATTTCAAGTGCATATTACCGGTATCTAAGTATCTTATTTTAGAGTAAAAATACTCATTCTATTGGCAAACTATCCCATTTACCTACTCAAATTAAGGGTAAATGCACTTAATTTAAGACATTTTTTTACTTATTTCTAGATCGTTTTTCCATCTCAACACTTTGTAGCTGATTGTAAAAAAAAGTTCTTTGAATTTCTCATCAATTTGTTCTTATTAGTCACTTTTAGTTGAATTTCAGTTGAAGGAGGAAAGACAGCGCTGATATTAATTAAATGCCTTGACGTTGCTGTAAAAAGCAGCTTAGTTGATGTCAATAACAGTCGTAACCTGTAATGTGAGTGTGCATCAGTACGTTTTAAGTTGATTCTCCACCATAAAGTAACTTTATGGCGGAGAATCCAAGCTTTAACATGTGACAGCGCACAGAACAAAAAACAAAACAAAAAATACATGTTTGCAAAGAAAAGCGATAGACACAGGAAGAGTGTAAAAAAAATATTTTATGATAAATTTCAATAGAAATGAGTAGGCCTACACAATACTTATTGGTTTAAAGTAAATGAAAATCAGCTTTTTTTTTGTTATTGCAAGTGTACATTATAACAAAATGTATGCATTTAACCATCAGTTGGAGAGCAGCACCTAGGGAGCATCGTGGAGTAAACAAAAGGAACCAAGAGTCAGAGTTTCTGGTGGATCTTACATAATCTCCCGGACAGAAATCCACGCCTTTAAAACTATTTGGCCACCACTTCTCCTCCATGAACCTGTCTTTTAATCCGGACATTACCAGCTAACATGTATTCTGTTTCCATATATTTAGACCAATCATTTTTCTAAAGAACTAAGAAGATAAAAATATAACTAAAATTACACAATCGTAGACCATAGATGCAATGAGAAAATACAAATAGATGTAGGTATTACAGTGCCATTAAAATAAAGGTTTCTCCTTAGAGTTTTCTATGGGTTTTTTTCCTTCACTGGTAACACATAAATGTTTAAGAACAACAAACACTTTTAAGGCTTTTTATTTTCTCTTTTGTTTTTTAACCATTTATATTCTGGAGAAAAAATAGCTCAATGAAGAAAGAGAAACAGCAGAAAATCAACCTAATAACCTGTCAATTCAGGATTTTCTCATGTAGAGCAGAATTCACTCTTAACCGTGTGACCTCATCCATGCAGAGTATCCGAAAACCTCTTGATCAGACACGGCGTCCTGACCACGCCAAGTAGACATCATAGAAAACCTGCTACTAGAGTGAATACGTTTTTGTGATGCTCCTGTAGACGTCCAAAACTGTTTCAATGGTGAAAAAGGAGCAGCTTTATGCATGTCGGCCCACAGTTTCAGAAGCTTTCATATTTCTGGATTTGATATGAAATATTGCTCCTAAAGGGTGTCTGTGTCAAAGGTGCTGTCCGGCCCATTTCACTCGTTTCACTGCTCCATGTTTTCTCCTTTTGTGGAGTGCAAAGTCCTGGAAATGCCCCTAAATCCCTTTGCAGACTCATATACTCGTCTTTCATCTGTTTTAAAGTTGCTTTGTGTCGCAGTTTGCTTTGTTTTCTTCTGATTTAGTGCTCTAAAACAGCACATGTGGTGTCGGGCCCTTTGCAACTTACAGGTTCGCTAATCATCAAGCCCAAAAGAGGTTAGTGAAATCTGTAAATCCAAAAAATGCATCTGCATTCAATAAATCACTTTTTTTTTTTTACTGATTACAAGTTATTAATGTGCTTTTTTTTCTGCAGTGGTCAGGTTTTTTCTCTGGTTAATTTTCTTGCATTGTTAAAAATGTAGTGCTACAATTTTAAGAGCATTAATAAAGATAACCTACACCACAGCGGCTTTGCATGGGTAGCACTGCATATTCTCTACTTAGGAACATACGCTCATCAAAACAAAACTAAAACACCCCAATGGATCGGTCTAAAGAACTGTGTCTAAAAAGACAATAACTCAACACATAAGTCAGACTTTTCTGTATTCATTCCTCCTTCATTGTGTTCTTCATCTTCTTATTCCTCCAAGTACTTCTTCATCACTCCTAAAAGAAAGAAATAACACCAGTGACTAATTTAAACAGCACAAATGAAAATAAAGTCACTTATACGTAAACTTTTTAACTGCCATGTCAACCTTCAACAGAGATGGCAAAAGTACTCACTTTCCGTACTTGAGTAAAAGTACAGATACTTGTGTTAAAAAATACTCTGGTAAAAGTGGAAGTACTGAT